CTTAGGATAGTACCTAGCCTTGAAGACCTTAGAGAGAAGTGAGTGAGGCTTAGTTAGCAATCTCCAACCTTGCTTGCCAAGCATTGCTAAATTAAATGCATGAATGTCTTTGAAGCCGAGGCCTCCAAATTTTTTGGGTTTCGTCATCCGCTTCCATGATAGCCAATGGATACCCGAGGAGTTTTTACCATCACTTTGCCACCAAAACTTGTTCATGAGGCCCTCAATTCTTTGACAAGTGCTGATGGGTAAAGCGAACACACTCATGGCGTACTGGGGCATGGCTTGAGCAACAGTCTTCAACAGTATCTCTTTGCCCGCCTTTGAAAGAAGCCGCGTGTGCCAACCACCAATGCGATGACGGATCTTATCCAGGATAAAAGAGAAAATCTCATATTTATTCTTCCCGATGAAGGATGGGAGACCCGGATATTTCCCAAAATCCTTAGATTTAAGCACCCCAAAAAAAAAACTAGCCAACTCGTCTTGCATCAACAGTGAGGTATTAAGGCTAAAGCAAATAGTAGACTTCTGAAAATTCACCTTCTGCCCTGAAGCCAACTCATACACCCTACACCCTGAGACATTCCTTGACATCCTGCGCCTCTTCCAAAATAGCTTTAAAAAACAAGAGACTATCATCGGCAAAGAATAGATGCGAGATCGGTGGAGCTCCTCGAGACACCATGAGGCCATGGATGCACCCTTCGCATTCAACCTTGGACAGGAGCGAAGATAGACCCTTTGCACACAGGATAAAGAGATATGGGCTTAGGGGGTCGCCTTGTCGAAGTCCCACGGACAGGGTGATGACATCCGTGAGCGTGCCATTAACCAAAGCTCTGTATCTGGCTGAAGTAACACACATCATAACCAATCGAGTCCAAGCCTCATCAAAACCAAGGGAGTGCATAAGGGCAGCCAGGTAGTTCCATCGGACCCGATCATATGCCTTCGCCATATCAAGCTTCAGCCCAACCCAACCCACCTTTCCACACTGCTTCCGCCTCAAGTAATGTCCAGCCTCTGCCGCCAAGAGGATATTATCCGAGATAAGCCTGCCCGGGAGGAACGCCGACTGTTATCAGAAATCAAAGTTTGGAGAATTGGTTTCATCCTGTTAGCCAGAACCTTAGCAATGATCTTTTAGATAACATTACAAAGGGCAATTGGTCGCAAGTCCCCCACCCTCTCTAGAGCATTTTTCTTTGGAATTAAGACCACTGTGGCGTCACTAAGCCCATCTGGAAGTTCGCCACGCTACAAGCAGTCAAGGATAAAAGTGGTAAGTTCAGGCCCCACCTCATTCCAACAACATTGAAAGAACGCGGGATTTAATCCGTCTGGTCCAGGTGCTTTGTCGGGGTGCATTGCAAAAAGTGCACTCTTGATTTCCTCCGCACAGAAGGGCCGAAGCAGCTCCCGATTCTGACCTTCCGTAACCTTAATATGGTGACAGTCCACCTCCCTCAGAATGTCTTCCCCAATCATCCCCTCCGCCGTGTCCGAAAACAGTTTCGTGTAGAAGTCGAACACGAGAGTGTTAAGGTGGGCGCTCTCTTGCCAAGCACCCCTATCGTATCGTAACCTCACAAGTCTGTTTTTCCTCTTCCGATGAGAAGCAAAGTTATGAAAGTACTTAGTATTCCTGTCACCTTCCTTAATCCAAAACTGTTTTGCCCGCTGCCTCCAATAAGAGTCCTCAATCTCCAAAGTTTTCCTGATCTCATGGTCAATTGCCTCTCTGTCCCGCACTACACTGCCCCCACGCTGCCCCCGCATGGATTCCAACTGCTTCCTTAGTTGACGGATCTTACCGCCAAACCGGTTAAAGTGGTCCCTGTCCCAGCTTTGAAGCTCCTTCCCACAATAATTGAGGCGTTTGAGGAACGACATGCTCCCATGTCTGTCCCAAGTACTTGTGGAAACCGTCCGGAAACCATCCTCCTTAAGCCAACAATTTTCGAACTTGAAGCAGCGTGGCCCCCGAGACTAAGTTTGACCACTTAGGCATAAGAGGATAGCTGAGTGATCTGACCTAAGTGTGGCAATGTTGTGGACCACACAGTTGGGAAAAATATCCAACCAGTCATTTGATGCGACAGCCCTGTCAAGCCGTTCCTCCACCCACTCTGGCGAATACTTTTTCCATTCCCATGTAAAGGGGTGCCCCTACATTCCCATATCCACAAGACCGCAGAAGCTTAAGGCGTCGTTGAACCCATCAATGAAACTAGGGGGTCGGGGATTGCCCCCTTTCTTCTCATGTGAAGCACAGATGTCGTTAAAATCACCGACCACAACCCAGGGTAACGGAGACCGGTCCTTGAGAGAGCGTAAAAGAGTCCAGGAATCAGAGCGCTGACTCCATTTGGGATGTCCGTAGAAGCCTGTAAACCTCCACTCCACCTCGCAGCCAAACCTGATTGAGACATCAACATGGTTGAAAAAATAAGATATAAGACTAGCTTGACATTCCTTGTTGCACATCAACACAATGCCGCCACTTCGCCCTGCACTGTCCATAGAAAAGGCGCAATCAAAACTCAATTTGAGTTTTATCTGTTCAACCTTCGCCCTGCAACACTTAGTCTCCATCAGGAAAACCAAGTGAGGCTTTTTAGTAGACACAAGTTCTACTAATTCTTGAACTGTCCAGCGGTTGCCCAACCTGCGACAGTTCCAGCTAAGGATATTCATTGCCCTCGGCAGGCCTGGAACCCAGGACCCACCGTTTCATGGATAATGTTGCCATCAATTGCAGCAGAATTGATCTCAACCAGCATCTCATCGTTTACCCCTCTCTTTCTCTTCGCGAACATGCCTGTCTCCGTGTCCTCGCTCTGGGTCCCTCTTAAACACATAATTGTCGACTCAGGGACATGACCACTGCCACTGCTCCCTTGCCACAGCCAGCGAGCACCAACCTCTGTCACTCTCCTTCTATTTGCTGCCCTAATCTCATCGTTGTACGACCATTGTCGGACTGGATGGCTACCGCACAATGCTTCCCCACATGGCCAAGGATACCACAAAAATAGCAAAAAGTTCCCAACCTCTCATACTTGAAAGAGACCCACGAGATCGTGCCATCCCTCTTCGTCAACTTCTGATAAGTCGTTTTTGGGTTGGTTCTTTTTATTCTTTTTTAGGCATTTTTACTATTATTAGAGTTTAACTTTTAGTCTTTTATCTTAGTTTTATTTTAATTCTTATTTTTACAATCTTTTTATTTTTCTTGCATAAATAGTAGTTTTTAATCACTTTTTACGCTTTATCATATTTATTTTATTTTTCCTAACCCAAAATTATCAGATATCTTATTTTTTGGAGAAAAGTATAGCAAAAGGCCAAATTGAAGATCAAGTTTGAAAACAAGATATTGAATTTGAGCCAAAGCCCAAACCCATCATTAAATCAACAAAATTAGATCAGCCCAGCACCCCTCCTTCCTCTTGAATCTCACGCACGGCACAAGGAAAAGAAAGGAACGAAGACTTCTTCTTCTTCGCGCGAGCAGCGGCGACCAATTCCTTCAACGGCTCTTCTCCATCGTTCGCCAAAATAAATGCTCCAACGGGAAGAATTCAGCTCCTCCTTTCTATAAATTGAAGAGAATCGACACATATGAGGAGGGGGGAATTCACACAGAGAATAAAGCAGCGGCTTGGCCGCTGCTATGGTGGTCGCCGGCGATGGTGGCAGGCGGCGCAGCGAACGGTCGGCAGACGCGCAACAGCTCCAGCTCCGGTTGGCAGCCTCCATCACAGCTCCAATTCCTCAATTTGTTCATCTTCTTCAACAATTCGTAACCCTATATGTTATTTCTTCATTTTTTTCTCCAATTCTTTGTAAAGTGTTGATTTTAGTTTAATTTTTACATTTTTTTATTTGTTAGCTTGTTCCAAAAATTCCAAAAATGGTTGGTCTTCTTTATGGGTTTTTTTCATGTTTATATTAATATCCCTTATGGATGAGAATTGATTCAAACTAGTTTTTATTCAATTATTGAGCAAGTTATTGTTGAATTGGTTGAATTGCATAATTTGATTTCATAAGTAGGTTGGTATGTGAAATTCGGTTTTTGTTGAACCTATTTTAGCTCCATAAGGTAGTTAAATGAACTCCGAATTCATACGTGAATCTCTTTTGTGCTTTTGTGTTCGTTGATTTTAAGGAATTTGGACTTCTTAGCTCCATAAGATGATTCATTTTTCTTAGAATTCGTTATTGAGTGATTGTTATGTTTTCGTGTGTTCGTTTGTTATTTTCATTAATTGAGGTTGTTTAAGCTCAAAACGTTCTCAATTTATTGAAAATATGTTGTGTTCATTTAGGTGAATAGAAAAAACGTCATTGGTTTGAGAAATTCATGGAAATCTGTGAGATGTGCTCATCATTAGAAGAAAAAGTTTGTTAAAATACATAAGGTATTGGCAGTTTGTGAATAGATTATGTATGAGAGTTGAATGCATAATAGATTCTCTCTTTTATAAACTTTTTCTATAGTGGAAGTATCAAAAGTACGAACTTATCTCTCAACCCCAAGATTCCATATAAAGTTTTGCCCGGAAACTTAACGTACTGAGGCCCGGCACACCTCTCAACTGTTAGGAGGTATAGCACCAATTCGAAATGAATCGACTCGGCCTTTGATTGATTTTTTTTATTCTTAAGTGCGTAAGTTACGTAATATATTGTCTACGTGCCTATTATATGTGTAATGTTCAACTCGTGTTTGTTCTCTTTTTTCATTTTGTCTCGGGTTCTTGGCGGTATTTCTTGGGTTACCTTTATTGGAGAAGTAATATTTTTGAGCTTATTTCCCTCATTTTATCAAAAAAATCAAAAAAAAAGAAGAAAAATATAAAAAACCAAAAATATTTACTTTTCATCCACCCCTTTGTGTTTTAAGTTATAAATATACGTTTTTATACTTTATTTACTTTTATATACTTAGGTATTTGTTTTGTTTTTATAAGTTATATTATAATTTCTTTGTTTATTTAAGTTAACTTTATAAGTTTTTATATTTATATAGTTATAGGTTTTATTATAAGTTTTATCATTTGTGTAGTAGTTAATTTTTTTTAGTGACAACGTGTTTGCATGCTATTTTGATTTCAAAAGTACAAACTTACTCTGTGGGATCGACCCTTACTTGCCCTAGCTATAGTTTTTATTTGATTATATCTCGGTGGTTAGTTAAGGTTAATTTATAAATTTTTAATTTGTTTTGGACCGCACGACAAGTCCCCAAAAACTTCATTCGTCGCCGAAGGGGTCGTCGTACGTCAATAGCCACTCTTATCCGCATGAAGGACTGATGCACAACCTCAAAGTTGCGCTCATCAAACTTAATAAAAAGACCAACAAAATTCCCCACTGCCTCAAGAATGTTTCTGCTGGTGTAGCCAAAAGGGAGACCATGTACTTGCACCCAGATTTCCAGCTTGTTGAGACCTTGCACGGTAATGTTCTCACCCGGCGTTGGAATGGTGCACAAGAGGGAAGCATTGTCATAAGACCACGGCCCTTCCTCCAAAATACGGACTGCATCCTTCTTGTGGTAGAAACGAAACCATAAAAGATCGTCAGCCCCTTTGGTGATCTCAACACCCATAGCCGGTCTTCAAACTGATGTCATGACCTGCTTGAAAATCTCAAATTTAATAGGTCGATCAGAGAGTAGGCGACCTACCAGCGTGACTCCTTCTTTATGAACTTCATTTGGCTCTTGGACACTAGCTGGAAACTGGAAACTTTGAGAAGAGAGAAGTCTGACGTGCGCCGGTGGCTGCTGACGTCGTTGGAGAAAAGAGAAGTGGTCTGACGTGCACTGGTAGCTGCTAACGTCATTGGAGAAGAGAGAAATCTGACGTGCGCTGGTAGCTGCTGAAATCTTTGAAGAAGAGAGAAAGGGTTGACGTGCGTTTGTAGCTGCTGACATCGAAGAAGAACGTAGAAGGCTATTGGAGGTGTCTGTTTGATTGAAGATCCTTAACTTTCTTTATCTTTTTCTTGGATCCGGGCAATGCCCTATTTCCTTCTTGAAGGGGTGAGTTGTAGAGGTATTCTTTCCTCTTTCACTACTTTCCCTCTTGGCTTTGCTTTTGTGCTGATTTACTTTGGATTTTTATTAGTTCAACAGATTAGAAAGAGAAGGGAGGTTGCTTATTAGAATGAGTGATTTGAGAGAGAGAAAAGTGGGTTAAGAATTGGAGATGTAAACTAACTAACTAGGAATAGAGAATGTAGACTAACTAAAATACATCTACTACAAATAGGAATGGGAAGTTGACTAATAATCAAACACTACCATAACCAATACTACCATAAGTAATATTAGTATTATTGTCTAACAACCGCTTGAGCCGTCACCCGCTGCACCTCCAAGCCACCTCCGGGTTATCTTTCATCCTCAAAACCACCGCATGTTCCCTCGGAGGAAGATTTTCGACGCCGGGGGTCATGATTTTGAAATCCTCTTACTCCAGGCGTTGCTTTTTGAGGGCAAGTTACGCTCTTTTTCTTTTCATCTTTGCTCAAGCTTCTCCGCTCTGACTTTTTCTTTAACTCGAAGCCTCTTCGCATGCATGTCTGCAAAGGCAAAAAACAAAGTGGTGAGGTGCTCGAACCCTTGAAGGAAGGGTTCGGGCACCATGCGCGAGGACCCTTCTCTTTTCCTTGCTTGATTCCTTCCGATGGGCCGTTCCAGCTCCGGTGGTGTAGGTATGTCGTCATTATCGTCACTCATACTCTACATCCAACGCCCATCAAACATGTCGAGATTATAGTCGCCCCGATTCTAATGTTTTGCTTTGCATCGTCAGATCAGGGATACCTCAATTGGAACCAAAGCCCACTTAGAACATTCGTGGAAGATGTCCCACACCCTAAGATGTGAGAATGAAGAAGAAAATTGCGTTTGATATTTTTCAAGCGCTTGCTGCAACACTTCTTGATCACTAGAACCGCTCGTACGGTTCACATAAATGTTGTTGTAGATACCGATAAATTTTTGAATATTTTTGTTCATATCGCGGTACTTGGAAGCTACAGAGTGAACGAGGTGGTACGGCTCTGATGTGTGCATCAACTTATAGAATTTTTTGGTCACTTTATCCCAAAAGATGTCGCTCGTCTAAGCATTTCCTGCACACGAGTTAAAAAAAGTTAATAAAAAAATAAAAAAAAATTATCGCGGAACTTATGAAAAAAAACTTATGAAAAAATATATAAAGAAACTCAAGAAAAAATATTAAGAAAACATAAACGCACTTCTTATTGGATTGGTGGAAATGTCAACCCAAGCTCTGGCTAACGCTTCCTCTTCGGTAGGGGGTCCAACTTTCTGGAGCGCCTCTTATCGGATCAGTCCCTTCCCTTTTGATTTTTTTTGGAGGTTGAGTTTCGGGTACAACCTCATCGATATTGGCATCGATATCAGAAGTCATGTGACAAAGTCGTTTCGTGCGGTACGGCCTGACGGTTGGCCGGTATTGGTTCTGGAATTGTTGTCACTGCATTTGTTGTCATTCTTGAAATTGTATGTTATATTTGGAAAAATGTCGGCCCTTGAGAGTAAGCCGCAAATGAAGGAAATGGATAGTCGGAGGAAGACACCGGTGGTCTAAATGGATCCATTACACTCAAATATATAAAAATTCTTTAAAAAAATAGCGCTATAACTCAAACAAATGGATGGGAAATATGTGGAAAATATGAGTTAGTTGAGTGTTGTGTTTAAATAGTTAGAATTTTGAAAACGTTAATGCTAAAGGATATCGTCAGATAGTCTTTTCAAGACGCTAAAACTAACTTCTAATGCTTATACCAAACGAGGTCTAATAACGACTGAAACGCAAAATTTCAAATCTTGGGCTTCTAACCACAAGTTCTTTGGCAATATTTTTGTATTTAGTTCTCTTTGATGAAGTTTTACTTTTGGATTAATTTTGTCCTAAAATTAAAATTTACCAAAATTATTGAAAGACTACATAGAGAATATGTGACATTTTTTAGCATAATATATCTGACATAGTTTATTTTAAATAAAAATACTATGATGGAAAATATCATTATTAATTTTATAATTATAATTATAATTATAATTATAATTATAATTATAATTATAATTAATTACTAATGTAAGGAATAATAAGGCATGTCATTGAAAGTATGAAACTAATGCATGGTACCATTTGTATTTTAAAAAAATAAAACAAAATTATAATAGATGCATATAAATAAATTTTGATAAACAAAATAAACCAAAAGTATGAATCAAATATAGAAAAGTTTTTCAAGGAACCAATTCAACCAAAAGTTCAAGATTGTGATCATGGTCTAGGAATAGTTTTTATATACTCTAACACGCCCTCACGTGCATGCACATCTTGTTTGAGTTTTGCACGTGAAACCTTAATTTTTTTAAAAAAACAAGATGGCGATTAAGAGTGCTTCTTTGGTGCCCCTTGAGTGCATACTATGTTTGTGTATATTCTCACATAATTTTTTTATTTTACTAAAAAAATAATTACTCCTCTAAGTAGTAAGAAATTGCTTATTTTTCTTATATGTAAGCCCATGGTAAACCTTAGCTCCACCATAGAATTTCCGAGAAATTTAGGACTATTTTATTGCTTGCTATTGAGAATAATATAAATAAGAGGAATTTACTTAAATAGCACTAAAACATAATGACTTTCCCTAAATAGCATCACATGTTTTTTTTTCAATGTAGCACTTTTAGTCATTATGCATTAGTCATTATTCAAGTAATAAATATTTACCATTACTGGACATTATGGACATTATTAAGTGCTATTTAGGGAGTAAAACAGTTTAAGTACTATTTGGGGAAATGACTTAAGTTTTAATGCTATTTAGTGCAAATATTTCTATAAATAATATGTAGGAAATAAATGAACTAATAGAATAAGGAAGATATAACTTATAATATTTTATTTCCTAGTATTGTTATTTAGGGAAATGACTTAAGTTTTAGTACTATTTAGTGCAAATATTTCTTTATATTATTCCTAATATTCTCCCGTAAACTGATCATTAGTATTGAGTAGTGGCTTGTAATACGGATACTGGAATTGAGTTGGCGGAAGCAGTTATGTGAGGAAAGTCTATATGAGTAGAGAGTCAAATCTTTGTTACATGACGAACAAACTTGAGATTGCATTTGTTGAGTTTTCTCCCATTAGAGTGTTGGTAATTAAAGTGAGGGTGAGGACTTTCTCTTTTTTTTCTCTTTTTGGGCCATTATTTGCTTCTCTATCGATTTTTGTGCTCTCAATCTCTTAAAAAGACACAGACAAATGTAACTTACTCGTTTTTCGATTATGGACATGATGTTTTTGGAAGAGAGAGATATAATGGATTTTTTGGAGAGAAAGAGAGGGATAATTGACGACAGGTGTTAGGCATGCTCATCGGAATCGGTCGGTGACACCATAATGTCAGACAGTTGACCGCTGTGAACAGGTGCTATGCATGCTCATCGGAATCTCTCGCTGATGCCATGTTGTCAGATGGTCGACCGCCGTGAACGGAGACCCGCAATGTGCTCAGTCAGAAAAAGAAGAGCTAAGTTTTTTTAGATTTTAGCTCTGATACCATGATATAATTTGATAATAATTGATTTTAATGAATAATAAAAGATACATCCCTATATATAAGGATTACAAAAGAGAATTCTAATCATAGTAGCAGAATAACTATGACAACAATACAATAAAAAATTGATTGAATGAAAAAGATAACTAATTATAATACGGAGTATTATTCCTAATACTTATGATGAAATGGAACACCTCTTTTAATAGATATAGAAATCAATCCTGACGGTTCAAGAAAATCGACGAGGTAAAAAACCGTAAAGAAATCTTTGAAGGAACTTATATTTTTCTCATCTAATAAAAAACTAAATTATACTAATAAATAAAGAAAATATCACTGCATCTCAAAATCCTTTTGCCATACCGGAGCATGCCTCGCCCGGGTGCTCCGCCGCTCTCGTGTCTCCGTACTAGTTCCGTCAGGGGGACGCTCATGTGGGGATGGATCTGTAACAGCTATATATAAAAGATAATTGGTTTTCATTAATACGAGATGAAGATATAGAACATGATAGAATAATTGAATAACTTCATGATATGATTGTTACTGATTTATTAATTATGTATATTAATTATATACTCTACTCTCTTGGTCTCAAATTAATTTGTTCATTTTGATTTAATAGACATACAAACAAGTATTTGAGAAATTAACAAAAAAAAAATTGCTTAGATTTTTTTTAAAGAAAGGAATGTTTTGGAACATATATTCAATTTTAAAGGGAGAAAAAAAAGAGAAACTAGTGTGTGACGACACTGGTAGTATCAATGGCGGATCTAGAAAAAATGTTCATTGGGGCAAAGTTATAGTAAGGAGTATGACGGGCCGGGGTTCGGGGCAGCGCTACTGAAATTGTTTTTAAAGCTAATTATAATGATGAAAAATAAATAAATTTATGTTCAAACAGGTATTCAAATAAGTAAAATAAAATATTTTTTAAAAAATATAATACTCCGTATAAAATATATCATAACCTAATATAACTAATAAAATAACTCAAAATAAAAATAAAACATTAACAAAGTATGTACCAGGAGGTTAATGTTTTTAGCCCCAAAATAGAATTTTACACT